CTGGAGGCACTGGACGGCCGTTTCGTCCTAGTATGGGACTCCTCAGCAGTGCGCATCCACGGCTCCTGCTCCTCGCAGGATTCGAGTCCAGGACCTTCGGTATTGTGCGCGAACGCCTCAACCGTTAGGCCACTGAGCCGGAATCCAACGGTGTTAATGTCTAACTCTTATTGATCTAGGGATTTTGCGCGACCTCACCCATTTGTCTTTGGTAGTTACTGCCTACACCCGACAGGGTTGAACTCCACTGGCCACGTCTTCTCAACTAGAACTCCGAGAATTCCGTCACGAAGCTAGTCACTAGTGAGCACTGTTACGATATATTGGGGCACAGTTTTGGAGGTTTGCGTCTAACAATGATGATTGATTAATGATTTCAAATGTGTAAAAACGCAAACCTCCAAAACTGTGCCCCAATTATTAGGATATACATGAACCGCATCCTCGAATCAACTTAGCAGTTATGGTTTGAACAGTTGCTGATTAATGGTTTAAGATAAAACTATTTTCTATTGCATACACTTCACTATTATTCTAACAATGCATCACATCCTCTTACTTTTAATTATAATTCATCTGTATACTAAATTCATTATTACAAATTACAAATTAATTAACTACTATACACACACACACACTTTATAATTGGTACTTTATAATGTCTATAACAAATTTTTTTTTTTTCAAAAAAATAAAGTACAATCAATTTCAGGTCAACTGATAAATAGAAATTCTAAGTATAAAAGTTTTATTGAAGTAACTTTTTTTCGAAAGTACAATTTATTCACTTACAATACAACTGTTTTTTTTCCATTCTGTTTATCAGATGTGTTTCTATTTTTCTTCTTTCATTTGTTGAATGTCAAAAATCAAAAATTAGGAGAATAGATTGATATATATAAATACACAATTTTTTGAAACCATGAATCGATCAATGTTAGACCATCATTAGAAACTTGGAAGCACTGGACGGCCGCTTGGTCCTGGTGTGGGACTCCTCAGTGGCAGTGCGGATCCACGACTCATGCACCCCACAGGACTCGAACCCAGGACCTTCAACATCGTGCGCGAACGCCCTAACCGTTAGACCACAGAGCCGGTATCTAACGGTGTTGATGTATAACTTGATCAAATTCACGGTGTTGCGCAACCTTATACACAGTATTCGGTAGACACTGTCTACACCCGAACAGGTTGAACTTCACTGGTCACATCTTCCCACTAGAACTCGGAGAAGATTCCTCACGAAGCTAGTCACCAAGTGAGCACAGGTAATTTGCATTACGGGGTTGTGAAGATTGTTGAGTTACACATTTTTTGAAACTATGAATAGATCAATGATATATAATTGTAAAAGAAAGGGTTTGTTTTTATTTTTAGGAATTATTATTGATTATAATATGACCTAGGAGTGTATTTATTAGATTACATGGTCATGATAGAAGATAATTTGACTATCTACACAAAATCATATGGTAAGTATAGAAAATAATTAAGAACCAGATTCTAGGCTAGATGGTACATATATTGAAACTCAGTATAAGAAATCAATGATGGAAAAGAAATCACAATATTACAAAAATAGAGTTTCATGAATTTAGTAGTATGGTTAACAGGTCTGTACTATCTTTGCTAAACTAACTAGTCATATCTTATATTAATTTGTGTGCATCCTAAGACGGTTGCCAATAAGAACTGATCAATTGCAGTGCTGATCATTAATGAATAAATATGACAAACACTCAAAAATGATGTAGTTCACAGCACAAGATGACCACTTATAAACGAGAAGCAATGGACGACTGCTTCATTCGAGTAGACAGACAGACAGACAGATACAACGCAGAACTTCGTACGTAAGTACATCACTTCAGGTTGCCATGCCCCATCAGCACAGAGACGAAACTGTCAGTTCATATCCAAGAGTGATTGCGATAGTAGAAGTATTAATAGTAATGGAGAAGATTAGGGAGCGAAGATATGATTCGAGAAGTATAATTCAGTAATATAAATTTAGAAGAAGTAAGGTAGAGATTATGAGGAATTCAGAAGGTTAGAATTTCATAGAACACAAAGAGTGGATGCACCTGCGCCACTGCAAACGATTCTGAGCCATGTCATTCAAGATCTCTAACCATTGGTGACTATCGTCTCGCCAACCCCAACCAGGTAGCCTACATCTACCTACATGACTCAGTCCACTTGTCAGTGACTTCATGGATTTCTGCCATGTTTTGGTTTGGCCGCCCCTAACTTTCTTCCAATCTACTCTTACACTGCAAAACATAGCTCTTCGCGGCAGTCGGTGGTTAGTCATACGTAACACATGTCCCAACCACCTCAACTGATGAAGTTTCACTACTTCATCTATTGATTTGCCATCCCTACCTAGAATTCGTTTCCTAACGACAGCATTGCTTATACGGTTGTCCCAGGATACACGAGCAATGCTTCGGAGACATCGGTGATCGGAAACTAGTAATCTACGGAAGTCCTCTACTTTCATCCGAGTATGAGACATTTCAATAATATGCATCCACGAGACTATCATGAGTCAGAGCTAGTAGTTTTAGATACCGCTAGAACCGTTTAACCCTTAAACTATTGATTTTATATTCGATAGTTTTAGTTTTAACCTTCAATCGACTCTCTGCATTGCACAACCATCTTCCAATTTTCTTTTAAACATCTGTTTGTTGCTTCCTAATTTTGATTAGCTTGCTACTTAACGTTAGTGTGCGGACTGAAGTATCAAATTCAAGAAAATTTACAAAACTCTTTGCAAGCTATTTAATATACCATGACAAATTCACCAAAAATCATTTAAAATTCTTTAATCTTGACAGTAATAATAATGCTGATTGTATCAACTACAACGTAGAAGTTCGTACGTACGTACATCAATTCAAATCCCATAGTAACAGATGTAGTAGAAACATTAGCAAAAATGGAGAATATTAGGATTCGAAGGAATTATTCAAGTTATAATCCAGTGAAATAAACGTAAGAAAAAGGAAGATAACGGTGACGAGGAACTCAGAAAATTAGGATTTGAGAGAACACAATGAGTGGATGCAGCTGCGCCTTTGCAAGCAGTTTTGAGCAATGTCGTTCAAAATCTGTCTCTCGGAATCCAACCAGGTAGTCTACACCTACCAACGTGACTCAATCCACTTGTGAGTGAATCCATGGATTTGTGCCATGTTCTTTTTGGCCGCCTCTAGGTATCTTCCTACACCATAAAATATAGCTCGACGAGGCAGTCAGTGGTTAAGCATACGCAAGATATGTCCCAACCACCGCAACTAATGAAGTTTCAAAACCTCATCTATTGGCCTGCCATCCTTATTTAGGACCCGTTTCCTGACGACAGTATTGCTTACTCGGTCGACACAGGACACACGAGTAATGCTTCAGAGACACCTATGATCGGGAACTAGCAACCTACGAATACCTTCTACCCTGACTGGCCATGTTTCGCAGCCATAAAGTGGCAGTAGATAGATATCTTGCCTGCACGATAAGTGGTGCAAGTTGGCAAAAGCCAAGCGAGCCTTCTGTGCCTGGATCGAGATTGTGTCACACATCAAGACATCAGGACTGAAGAGACTTGCGAGATAAGTGAAGTGGCCAACAAGATCAACTACTTCCCCCCCAATCACTTATCCAGGTGGCGACGCAAACCAGACCTGAAGCGAAATTTTGCGTTTCGAAAAGGAGAATCGCATCCCAGATACACAAACATGCACATAGATGGTTAGAATGGTCAGAAGTAACTATAAGTAGTTTATGCGAGTGTATCATCTGCTGGGGCATGTTTCAGTTATGCATATCTCAACGTCTAATGTTTGTTGGAATAAACGGTCCAGAAAACTACGGTTTGCCAAACCAAGACATCCCACTAACCTATGAAAGCAGCTATTCACATTGTTAGGGTTAGCGTAAACGATTGCGGCTAGTAACACGCCAAGATACTCACTCATATCCCTAATTAATACCTCTTCGCTGTTGTCTTTTTCAGTATCACTGGTACCTCTATTTTCCCGCTTCCTTATTCATGTAGCGTCAACGCGATATGGCAACCTGAACAGGACGCATTTCTGTTTGTTCCGGGCCCATTAGGTTTTTCAAGCATTTAACAGCTGTAGACTCATCGGGCCTTCTCCGTCTATGTAGCCATAGCGCTACACTAATTCCTAAAGCACACTGATCAAATCATACGTTAATTTTCTTTCTATGAAACCATTCAAAACCTTACTCCAACTCCTGTATTCAGCAAGCTTGAGAAGTTCCACTTAGTGGGTATGCGCCAGAATTACAGATTATCTTTAAATGTGACTGACAAAAATAAGGCCCATTTCGGTCCACCACGGAGTTCATTTCTGGGTTCGCTAGGTTAAGCAATACTGACACGTAAAGTGTATCACAATTTCGTAGTGCATGAGTGATTATTAGTCAGGATCTAAAGTACTTGTCCCACTTCAAAACTCAGCTATATCTACAGCTAAATCGCAATCAATCAGTGAATTAGATGTGCTAGCCTTCTACATTAGTTTAATAGAGTACATTTCAGTTTTCTATGCACGTTATAGAGACAGTGTACAAATGTAATAGGATTCTAGTCTTGAACAATGAATCAATAAGTGAATGTGTGGAGAGTCACGAAGCTTATGGGTTACTGTTATATACATAGTATTTAACCAGAATAAAACCGATACAATTATATGTCGGACTTCTACATCATAATGTTATCTAGTATGCTACTGCTTTTTCATAATGTGTTTTGAATATTACCAGAATATACGTAACACGGTAAACATTATGATCGATATGAGTACTCTACATATTGCTAGTAATTCGTTGACTCTACAACTAGCCGTAGGATACAAATATTACCATATCAAAGTATTCAAGTGAATAAGTTATCCATTTAGAGTATCATGGAAAAACTGGTTTACGTACTTAGTTATTAAACCTAAGTACACACATGTTAAACAGTTTGTCAGCCTAAACTTTGGAGAATTCGGAATAATAATAAAATGAATTTTATGGTGGAGGACTAATCTTTATGAAAAACAGCTCACTATAAAAGTTTTCTTTTTTTTGATAACAAGACAACAGAAGTCAGTCAATAAGGTCAGCAGTAAACTTTTTGTAGAAAAAAAAAGACTTATATTGCCACACAACCCCTCAATTAAACGTAATTTGTCATCTTGAACATTTGCAATTTTTTTCACACAAGGAAAGAGTTGATGCTTCGACCAACAGTAGTACAAATAAAATGTGCGCAAGGTTGCTTTCTTGTTTTTTTTTTTATAAACTAGGCAATTAAGATACACACAAATAAGCTTCAGCTGTCCACATTAATTTGTTTAGATTGTCAGGTTGATTCCTAGGTTGAGCATTGTTTTGTTTTTTTTTCAACGGATTCTCAATGTTCTGATTATCTTTCACATCAATATAAACATGCACATATCAATCTGTTGACCCTTAAAAAAGGAAAGTGACAAGTTGTCCTAAGAAAACAAACGGAAGTAGGAAGAGAAATGAAACGGCAGACAGGCGGGAAGGGGGAAGAGATCACAAAACACAACAATGAGTGACATTGATTGTAAAATCATTTACAGAGTGGATTTAAAAAAACAAAAGGAAGAAAAGACATATGTACACTTTCATTTATTATTTTTTTTCTGTTTGGTACCTATAAAAAGAAAATTTAGTGTTGAATGAGAGAATTGACCACGCATGTAAATTGTAAATCCATTTTTAGCTGATCGACAACTATGTGTGGCGATGTGTAAAAAAACATCCAATATGGAGGTAAGACGCCTGCCTCTGCTTAGGGGGACGATGGGTTCAGAATTGTGCAACTAGTTGGCATGCGAACCTCGGTACTACTGCTAACGGGTGAACTCTTCTTCTTCGACGGAGACCTTGAGTGCTGTTTATGACTATTAATACTAGAAGATGAGTAAAGATTTTTCTTTCGTCTATTCAACTGTTGTATTGATGATGATGCTGATTTGCTATCATTTAAACTGATCGCCTCATTACAATGACGGCTACCAACAGTTGAGTTTGACGATGATGAATCACCATGTTTGTCAGTAACTTTATTTTTTCTTTGTGATGAAGAAGTATTTGACTGACAATCAGTAGAATTTGATGAACCATTAACTTCTAGATTAGACGAAGAGAAATGATTCCCCGTTAAATAAGTAGTATTAGAGACAGACGAATGATTTGAAGGATCAACTGAAGTGACATCATCAAATTCTTTATTGGATAAACCTGACAGATTTGTAAGATTTGATGAAACAATTTTTTCTTGCACAGAATTTGAATAACATTGAGTATCATTCTGCTCTACTATTGTGTTAGACACAATAATAGCATCTTGAGTAGTGGTATAAACAACACTACCATCGTTTGGGGTGGTTAACTCATGTGAATTTTGAAGAACAGATGGGGTCTGATAAGCTAAATCATTTTCTGAAGTGCTGACAGAATTCAAAGAACATAATTTTTGGTTGCCGACATTTGACCATTCTTGTGGTTCACAAGTAGAAGAAGAAATATCAGTCACCAAATTCGGATGAGATGATGAAGTGCTAGTCATGCTGTTCGAACCAAAAGTCATCATTTGAAATTCGGAAGTGATCAATCCAACAGAATTTAGATTTGTAGTTGTTTCTGGGACTGGACATGAATTACATGGTATGTTTTGCATTTGACAAGCAGAGGCTGTAGGAGTGTTGTTATTAGAAGAAAGAAGTGGTTGCTTCTGATGACCACTTGTTGATAAAATACTTGTTGGATAGGCGGCGGCTGATGTAGATCCGTTTGATGACTGATATAGACAGTTGATAGGGGTTTGAGCTAAAATAACCATCTGAGAACTGCTTACAACCGGCGCAGGAACACTCTAAAAATATTCAAGTAAAAAATTAAAGTTAGGAAAAACACTACAAACAGAATAGAATGTCATGTTGATAGTGTAATCATGTAAAAGATTAAATGATATTCAGTTGATGAAAAACATTACGTGGATGGAACTACCACACACACACCCCAATGTCTTACAGATAACAGAAATAACAAATAATAATCCCTCATGGATCGCATCACAATGTGTGACAGGATACAATTCTCCAGCAAAAACAATATATGATCTGAATTCATTTGAATTCAATAACGACGAATTACATATTGCAACTATCCTACTTGCTGTTTTAATGAATTCGGGACATTGTACTTGAAGGTGATTTTGAAAGTATGACTGATCACTGGTTAGTAAAGAACTCACGGAAGTATGTCAAGCCAAATACATTGACTATATTATATGGCTATTTTACAAAGCTAATGTATCATTAAAGTCTAACCCCATGTGTAGACAGTATTCAGTACTGTTTTTCCAGAATAATGCTAGGATAGAAATGGGACTGATGAGATCAAGTGCACAAAAAGATGAAATGTATGAGTAAAAAAAATATATAGTTCCAATATTCTACTTCTGAAGTTCACAATCATATCTGTATTTGAAACAGCAAAAAAAACCAATATCATAAGAAATAATATTTACATGAGCTGGTTGTGACTGTTGGTGATGGTGAACATACGATAATCCTCCCTGATGATTGGAAGTTGTTGGAGTTCCAAATGTAACTACTGATTGAAAAGCACTATGGGTAGACTGAGAAGGGTTACCATTTGCCGTATAAACAGGGAGATTGTTAGTTGAGAAATTTGCAGATTGAACATTGACACATGATTTGGAACGACTGAAAGGATAATCAGCATATCCAGCAACGATTGCAGCTGCTTGATTAGGTTGAACTGCAGAAGGCATTTGACCTTGAGGCATTCCAACTAAGTTTGCCCTATAGGAACTAGTAGAAATGGTTGGCTGACCGTTACCCCCATTTGATCCAATGGAAGGAAACGAAACTGGGACGGCCGTACCACATGGACCATTCTGTAACAGTGCTAAAATGGAAAATGTAAGGTTAGACAAAAGACTTGAAAAGGATATGGAAAAGAGGGTTTATTTCTTGAAATAAGTGAAATGTGTTCAATTTAAGCTGATATGATATTAAAATAAATATAAGAGATTGTTACGCAATAGATGAAACTCACTTGATGGCAAGAGAATATTACGATTTTGTGAAGACATTGACGATGAATGCATATTCGGAACAACAACGGGAGTTTGATGCAAGGGTTGCACTAACTGTGCAGCTAAAGGGAATTGGGGAGTAAAAGCAGTTTGTTGGGCTTGACCTAACGCTTGAAGAGAGGCAAGATTAGACAGACCTTGAGCTGTACGTGTTAAATGACTAGCAACAGGTATTTGCTGATGTAATCCAGAGGCGGCAACAAAGGTTTGTGCATTAGGAGCAGCATTACGCCGTCTGGGATCCGCCTTATCAGCTAGCTTACAGGTAATAGGTTTATCGCCACCTCGAACAATATGTTTGGCTTCATTCATTTGTTCAACAGCTTTTTCTGCTTGTTCAGCTGTGGCGAAACGGACAAAACCAATCCCTGAAAAAAGTTTGAAAAGTGTAAATCCTCGAACATCGATAAACAAATTATATAACCTATGAATTACATGTGCATAAATTAACTTGAAGAAGACACGCCCTTAAGCATTAGGTTGTTTATAGAAGACAGTAGAAATAAATGAATACATTGGATTTATATGACATAATCAGCACGTTAATAAATTGCACGCAAGATTGATAGGGTATTATCAGTCAGTATCTCAGAATCAGTAAAGTCGCAACAGGTAGACGTAAGAAAAATATTTTATTTAGTTTTATCCACTGGCTAAATTATTGTATGCATTCTACCCATCAATAAGATTTAGTGAGTCGAACTTGGTAAAATGAGACAATAGTCACTACTAGTAATAAATAATTAGCAGTATAATGGAAAATTAATGTCTTCATACGGTTTACTACGAATACCAAAATGTGATAGTATCTACATTTGAATTTTTTTATCGATAATGACTTTGTTTCATAACTGTGGGGCTGATAAAACATAAAACTATGGGCTGCTAGTTTTGTCAGTTACATGTTAAGCTTAGTCAGCTTCTCCATATGCATTCAATTTTTTAAAGTAAAAAACGATCTTACAGACTGAAGTGACTAAATTAAATGAATCACGATGAGCCAAGTGAAGTACCACACAACTGTTCACATCGAATTAGATGGGTCGGAGTTTCAACTTGCAACTGAATATTTTTGCCACAAGAAGACTATTTCAGATACCAAATAAAATAGAACCTTCAACAGATAATTTTGCGGGTTTATGGAAGTGATCATATTATTTAGTCACAGATCAATAAAAGCTTTCAAGCAGTACTCCACAAAATACACTACATCATAATGTGGTATAACGTAAATATGATGTAATATAATAAATTAATGTTTATAATCATAAATGAAATGATTATCGTAACAATGGAGTATAGGCAGCGCTTAGTTAGTCTGGCCAAACAATGATAAAGGTACCACCTACCTGTAAATCCAGTAACTGTTTCAAGAAGTTTAACTGATGTAACATGACCAAACTTTTGAAATAAACTTTCCAACATCTCTTTTGAAAATCCTTCACGTGGGAGATTGCGTACATAAACATTGAGAGCATCTTTTTCATTTTCATATGCATATTTCACTGATAATTTGCGTCCATTAGTTCTGGCACATTCTAAAATATGTGCTTTCGCTTTTTCCGCATCCTCTTCAGAAGCGCAATCAATAAAACCGGAACCTAAAAAAAAATTGAAGGGAAATTTATTATTTCATCATAACAAATTACCTATGTCCCACCACCACTTAACTTGACTCATGATGACTGCTAATAAAGGTTGGAAGGAAGCTAGACGCTACCAAACCAAGCTGTGGATGCTATTTCATGAAGTCATTGGTTTTTGAACTGAGTCACGTAAGTAGATTCAGACTAAATGGATAAGGACCAAGTGATTATTGCAACCAATGGTTAGAGACGTTGGGTGACATAACTCAGAATTTTGACAATGATATAGATTCATTTACTATTTGTCCTCACTTTAGATCTTGAGTTTCTAAATGTTTTTTTCCACGAATCCATATCTTCACTAATCGCATATTTTATATTCAATTTCTATCATCACTAATACTGGTTATTACATCTACTACTCTGGCATTTCATTATGCTAATGTAGTGTGTCAACTTAACCGAGTTCTATCTTACGTATTTAGCAACATTGACAATATTTGCTTAGAATATACACATACGTCAAACGTGACTAATCGATTGTGATCCTTAATATCAACGGGAAGATATACAAATTATGAAGAATAAATGTTTCCTACAGTTCAGTTTCAATGAGTGTTCCCAGCCCTCTTTTATACCTGCACAAATACAGTGTGATGATACAGCACATGAAATACAAACTTGTATATTCTGCTTTGAGTAACACTATTCTTGACGGCTAATTATACAATCCAGCTACTTAAACAGAAATAGAAATGTGACATGAATGAAATATAAACACTAGCCATTAAGTCATCGCTCTACGACGTGCCAGTATAGCAAGTTTGTATTCATTTAAACTGAAAGCTAAAAGATCACCAAACTAGATGGGTTTCGAACAATGACGGAAGCATGTATTCTGAACTTGAGTGAATAATTAACTTAAATGAAAATGTAAACAGTGAGACAAACTCCTAATCTAATGTGTGTATAAACATAAGAAAATCTTCACAAACCTATTCGAGTAAATCATTAAAATTCATTCAATACACTGCAGAAAATTTCACACACTTCACATAAATAAAATTCACTATAATACAGAGTAAGAAGCAATTAAACGCTACAAAATACCGCAACGTAATTACGTAATTACAATTAAAAACTAAAAATCACCAAATATATGACATTTTAGCTACTACTAACCTCTACATCTTCCGTTGACTACCATTGCTTTGCAAGACTTTGGCTGAACAACATTCTCAACAAGTGAACGAACTGTATCGTCTGTATCAGATTCACTTAATCCACTTATATATAAATTAGTCTTGGAAGTGACAGTTGATTTGTTTCGACGACCATGCTAGAGGAGAGAGACCCAAAAAATTATAAAAGAATTTTCAGTACAAGTCAGTTAACATTCTATTATATCTATACAAAATCCAAATTTAAAAGCATGCATTTGACCAGCAAGTCAAACGAAAACTGATTTATAACAGATATCTACGAAATAAACACCTAATTTTTCATGATCCCAATGTAGCACCATCGATTGATTATATGGAAATGTAATAAAGCCAAACTGGAAAATCATTCTAGCCGGAAAGACAGGTTTTATGCGGCCTAAATATCGAGCAAATTATCTGTCGGCATGTCTCATTCGATAATCAACCAACATAACACATGTTTATGTAACCGGCTTTAAGTCATACACTGCCTGTATGAGTGTTAGCGACGTGACTCGGTTGTTCACACAATGGCAAATGAGGCTCAAACTTGTGATCGGATGGTTGAACATCGAGTCCTCCAACAACCAAGCTGTTGACTCGATACGTCATAATATAAACTTTGGTCAGCAGTTGACTCGATAGGTATTCTTTAAGCTACGTAACATGAGTGCGTTTTCAACCATTGGGGTGACATTAACTTAATGTTATTAGTAAGCTTTAAACCAAAAGAGGCAACTCAAGATTTAGTGATAGACTATCGTTTTATGGCAGATCCCGACTTAAGATTTTCAAAAATTCCTAATAGTATACTGTACTGTTATTTATTTTTAAACATGATTTTTTTCTCATCAACTTGTGATCTATTTATCCGCTGAGGATTTTGCGTACACTAAATTCATTCTTGCTAACAATCATAACAATCATATCCTCCTCTGGAATTTGTTAAAAACACGAGTCTCCTATCGTAGTTCTCCATATCAGTACATATCACGATAATAAGGGAATCAGAATGATATCAAGGAAAACATTTCAGACGCCGATTAAGTTAGGTATGATAAACATACGGGGGAATAGAATCTCTAATATATGTAGTGAGCCTTACCTTATCATCTTGTAATTGATGAGCGTGTTTAGTAGGTTGGGATGCGTAAACTTGTAGAATGGATGTGAAACACTGAGATGAGTTGTATTACAAATCATCAGAATTGGGAACAGAAACAATCATGAGACTTGAATAATATCAGATTAACAGACGGCTGCCAAATGCCCTGGCACAAGTGGAGAGTCTGGCTTTCCCTCTCAAAATGCTCTTACATAGCTAGGAGTAGTCAATACCAGGAAAGTCCTACTCACTATCTTCTCGTAGCGAGGGTGTTTACGAAACTGAGATGAAAGGCAAATGGCCGGCGTTTAAACCCGGTTAGTAGGTATGGAGGACCCACCTAGGGGAGTTGGAAAACCCTGATTCCAAACCAATACCAATGGTACACATGAGTTTCGGGAACCTGGAGGAACAAAATGATGTCTGATATAACGCTGACCACCGACTACCATGGGACTGCATGTTCGAACGTTGCTTCATTACCTTTTGGATTAGACCAGAGGTCAAAGGCTCGGGGAGTGGCCCCATAAGGAAACCACCTGATTCGGTTTGAGTAGCCAGGTAGTATACCAACCCACAGAAGTCCATTGATTTGTGTGGTGCATGAATATTTAGGTGCTAATAATAGTGTTTAAACAGATAAAAAAAAAAGGTATATACATTACAGAACCAGCACACAAAAGTGTACAAGTTGATGTCTCCAAACTCGGTAACCACTTGGAAAGACATAATTGAAGGCAAACAATATGGATTAAGTTAAAAATTTGCATGTTGCTGAGGAAATTATTTTCAATGGGCTTTGTGTAGAACGATGTGACTACGAAAACAGTGACCGACCATGGCCAAAAAGTAAGAAAAAAAGACTCACCTGTGCTTGAGGAACAGAACCAAAATGCTTTAAAGAATCAAACGTACGACAATGTGCTGTCATATTAACCGCCATCGGTGTCTGTGATGGTACATTTGCATAAGTTTGATGTATATGGCCAAGACTGCCATTGCCCATTGCCGTTACCAAAGAAGGTGCTAAGTAAGACAACGACTGACCATATGGGACAGGTGCATGAGGTAAGGGTAAGGCCTGGGAAGCCGATTGTTGGAACTGTGGTAGATGGTAAGAAGGGTTAATTGAAGCATTGGGAAACTGACGTCCAGTGATAGCGGGTTCCAGCGACTGGTGGGCACCAACAGAGAACGAATGAGGGAAAGGGTAGGCCAAACTGTGATGAGGACTAAAGCCACCAGGTGCTGAAGGGATGGAGGAACCAGGTAAAACATTGGAAGAGAGAGTCGGTCGTACATAACCAGGGGTGAGTGCGCCAATAAGCATACTGCTAGAATCCATTGGACCAGAAATATGACGGTCAATGGGTATCGCTGAGCCGTTAGCAATAGTTGGATGACCTGACATCGCTGCAATGATAGGCCAATGTGGTTGCATATCTGTAAAAAGATTCACGTATCAACAGTAAAAAAAAAGTTTTACTTTATTTAGTGCAATAAACTGTCTAAGCAGTTAACACTTCTGTATCGAAAAAGACACTTCGGAATGAATTAATTTGATAATGATAAAAGAAAAGTAGAGATATGAAAATCTACAATAAACCGATAACACTAAATTGTAAACATGGACAAAGATTTGTTTATATACTTCACTTAATTTGTAATTAAAACAAAATCAATGAAAATTAAAGCAATGAGTTCCTTGATGTCACTATTTTACTGATGTTCGGTCTAGTTAAGGCAAAGAATAAATGGTTAAGTGTTGCCTGGAAATATGATGAACGGAATAATAAAATGTATCCACATATTGTTATTAGATTACCTATTAAAGTTACACTAACATTTTGACCATGAAAAATAAATAAATTCACCTGTCTAATAATCTAAAACAGGATAGTGGCTGAGTCATATGTTCTCATAAGTTAATGATTTCTGTTCTGAGGAATGCTCAGTCCAGAAGAATGGATCAATAACTGTTGAACGTTATAATAATCAAGCCATATCTTATTGAACCACTTTTGAGTAGATGTGAACATGATAGAAAACTAATTCAGTCCCCTTAAAGCAACTGGAAGAAAACTGACACAAGTATAGATTCCAGCTGAGACGGTTCTTAAAAGATTGAAGGATATGAAGAACAAGACTGCTACGACAAGACAGATTTTGTTCATGATAACCTGAAACCATATTCATCACTACATTCCAATTCGTTGCATTCTCGGACCTTTTTGTCATACTTAGCCGATAACCTGATATTATGCTTTTCCCCTGTATTATTTATGACCAGAACTCCCCTTGAATCTATTTGCTTTTTAGGTTAAGATCAATATTGGTTCAAATCCTTGTAACAGCTTATTTTTTTTCTCGAGATAGGAGGCTAACAGAAACCAATTCTTATTTTTATTACATGCTGTTTTAAGTATAAGTAACGATCTGATGTCCGATTTATCCTTAAGGTTTGTACTTATCACCGTAAAAACACTGCTACCCAAATGGACAGGTTCAGGTTACTGAATCTACTTTTAAATAGTATTGTTAATTAACAGTACGGCACATAAACTTATTGGTTCACATAACTATGACGAAATATTAAATTAATTTGAGATACCCTCAATACATAGACAGAATTTAAACAGACGTTGATGAGAAATACTTACCGTACAGTTTAGTTATTAATATTTGAAGAGATAAGGAATTGCTGTTTGATGATAGAGTATGTTATTCTGTTGAAATTTGGATAGTAAATCACATTAGCCGATTTGAAAGTTGGAAGTGAGCATTTTAAGAACGTGTACCACAAAGCCAGTCTTAGCTAAAATATTAATATATAATCCAAAAACTGAACGATAGTAAAATAAACTGTCATAAAAAATAGGATAAATCAATGTGTAACCGCCATAGAGTAAAATCCAAAAAACCATAGTCATAAAATATTTGGTTATCAAGGTCAACTTTTTGTAATTAAGTGTTTGATGGACCGACTGACGAGTTGTATTTTAGCACACAAATCCGCGACGTACTCGCAAAGTTGTGCGGTTCTGTACCATTTTTATTGGCTGATACACAAGCGGAGAATTTATTACAAGCTTTCTAACTATAAACGGTTATTCAACATAACTTTCTTTAAATCAATTATTAAGTTTGAACTATTTTCCTAATACAACAAGTGCCTCAAAAGGAAAATATGAATTTTCAAAAGTGAGGTAATTTTGTAGCAAATGAGGTTAATACCAGATTTTTTTGCTTCTGATAACTGACTATTACGAGAGACGATTTGTTAGCCCTTCATTGTGCCACTGTAATAACAGGCTTAAAGGTTTGTATTTAGACTGGGAGTGACCCTCCTCAGTGGAGACATTTAAAGAGCTCGGGATCACAAATGGTGCGACACTGAAGGCCAACATGTCCTTACTAATATAACTCATCTTCGTGGTACAGGGTTCCGAGCTATTAATAATCAGCTACCCAAGCAGAAATAGGTAAAGCGTGACTCGAGGTGAGCAAACTTTATCTCACCTGACAACGGAATATACTAGCAGGTTAGGTAAGTTAGATTTAACATGTGACTACGTTTAGAACCAAAGGGTTAAGTGACTTGAGAACATTTTTAAAATTTACGTAAACGAAAGCCATCAAAACAATTAGATGGAACACAGAAAACCATTAGATTCTGGTTTGAACATGACCGTTTATTTCATCTTTCATCAGATTAAGCCAAAAAGCTGCGGTGAATTGAAAAACAGACCCATGTGAGTTACGTGATTGAGTAGCTAAACAGTCAGTAGTTTACACCTCACTAACCGTTTATTTTGAACGTGTCAGATACTAGTTGCAGTGTAATGAAGTAGAAACACAACTGATAATAATGATCATGGGAATTTTCGAAGCATTGATACTTGTGAACCTCAAGTGAATTGTAGTATAGCAGCACAAGAGAAAAGTTATTTGTTAGGTCATCAAACCCTTATCGACTGAGTTTAGCTAGGATATATTCAATTCACTCTCATCTGCAACGATTGATAAAATACGAGCAATTTGGGGAGAAATCTAAACGCATTCAAACTGACAACACCAGCGCATAAACCCGATGAATGTTGAAAACTAGTTAGGTCATGAAGAGTGCATACGATGATTGAAGTCTATATTTAGGGTCCTGAGTACCGTGGTTAAAAATTTGTTGCAGTTACAGTTGCATTTTATCGTTTCTCTTCAGATCCAAAGCAATTATTTTGCAATTTCCATTCGTTTGGATCTCTTAAAACTATTTCCTTACTATTAAAAGGGCGACTACTTTTCCCCACAGCTGCTACTGTGGTGTAGCATCCAGGTCTGGTGGTTGTTCGCAAGTCATAACTGACCACGTCAACTTCCCGCGTTATTATGGGGTGAGGGAGCGATAAGGACACCGGACTTTGCTTTACACCTCTATCGAATGTCCAGACAAATCAGTGTTTGTGAAAGAACATACAAAACCAAATATCGACCATCAATGAAACAGGATTAGCAGTTGAGAGAAATTAAATGCAAACCATATCAAGCGGCTGAATTACAAGCACGATAGTGCTAGCAAACTCAAATAAAGACCCACGTTACAAAACTGGTTATTCGAGACTGCTACGGAAAAATACCGAGTTCCCTATACATACTTTTGGAACTTTGTGGTGAACGCATATGAGATATGCTTACGTCGAGGAAGATTATGCCAGCTTTAAGATTTAAAAACTTAATTCAGTGCAGTTAACTGCTGCCATTTACATACTTATCGTCATTGATTTTCGTGCAGTTTAAAACCCACAGGTTTCACAACCATATACAATATATGGGTCGTAACTCACCAAAAATTATTTTTAGCATTATTCAGGAACGTCAGAAGCTATCGAAAACAATAGCAAAACCAAATAAGATCAGAAACAAGACCATAAATGCATTAACCTAGTCACCAAGTTAACTGAAATCTACAGATTTGTGATTAATTCGGTAAAATAAAGTAGTCAGGCTGTTAAACATATGATTTTAGCAAAACATGATAATATATTGTATGAATGAACATACCGATTCCCCAAATACGTCTTCATTATGATGAATACTAGCAGACACAATCTCATAGGACAAACATGGCGGACGAGAATATACAGATGGCGGTACCGAAGGAGCCTTGACCTTCGACTTCACATCACAAAAACAATAAAAAAATGTCAACTAAGAGTTAAGGTAAAAATAGTAGTGAAGGCTTAAATTTCGGTTTTTTTCGGTTTAAAAGGTCTTGAGTCAACCCCACGTCAATTAAAGTTATGTAGCTGACATTTAAACAAGTTTAGTAGATTGTAGCGGTTCTCGTCTAACAAGAAGGTATTCTATATAGCAATTATTATGAATGGAGAAATCTGAAAAGGAGAATAACAAAAAAAGACGATATGACGAAATAACAATAACATGAAGGACACACATTTAATTAGGAAACCAGCCGACAACAATGAGCAATAACAAGAGTCGTCATACTAGGACAATATGTAAACTGAGAATCAAAGAGGTAGAACAAAGTCTTCAGTCTTCTAAAGCTGGCGAGTTTTTCATATGCAGGAGCGCCTTACATGATCAAAGGAATAATGAATGTGGTTACAGCTAATGACTCCTTTTACAAAACTTATTAGAAAATGTTCTCACGTTCGATCACTTGATTGTCAATTTTTTCCGTTTTGAACTCTAAAGCTTTGTCAAATATACCATAAAACTTTATGAAGATGACGTAAAAATAGACAGAAAGTAACACGTACGAAAAGGTTTTTAAAAACAGGGGATGAGATACAGAGAAATGAAAGCTTTGATAAGCTGGTACTGTTTGTATTTATAATAATAATATTTATACCCACATAACTATGTGTTATATGAGGCATGTCATGATGGTCATGAGAAAAAGTTTGAGCTTTACCTGGGTAGGGTCGTACAAAATTATCGTACAATTTCAGAAAGTAAGGAATAAGTTGTTTTCTAATTTTTGGTTATTTCCATTTAGCATCACTGGTAAAGTTTAATGTATACGTTCTTATAGACATTCATGTATTCCAACCATATCACAACCTATTTTCCTACGTTTCTGGCATTTCATGGATGATGGTCGGGTTAGTCATCATTTTTAGAGCATAAAATCGCAAACTTATATGGTGTTCTGCCAAAAAGTTACTTTAATTCGCTCTAACCACTGTAGGGTGATCGTCAAAAAGCTTTGTCCTTGCTTTCTGAATTGTCACTATTTTGTATAAGCTGACAAACATGAACTCAACTAAACCATTTTAAAACTCTTCCAGTGTGTAATGTTATAACTCCTAAAATTTTGAATGCAAATGACTCTTTCAAAATTCTGTTCCCCTAAAATTTGAGGATGTTGCTGATATTCAGATCTGGGCAACCCTTTTGACCGTAACACATATCGCAGATAAAGAATACACAAACGCAACCCAAACCAGAAGTAAGCGATGAGAAGGGTCGAAAGAATATTTGGATGATGGTTGAAATGTAGAGGAACTAAGCTGGCTAGTTGATGAGAAGAGATGTGTTGTAAGGCGTACGCCACGGTGATCTGGTGCAGATATGCAACCGATCGCCTTCAGCTAGGTATGTTCACTGGAACTAATGAGGTTAGGATCAACTCTGAAGACTTACAGAACTATTTATTTCTGAAATTTATTTACCGCTACAAATTTTTATATTGCCAACTTTACGGTGCAAAATCACCTATTACTTGATGACCTGGAAAACAACTAAACAAGAAGAAAGGTATTGTAGACTGTGAACATACCGCTGAATACAAAGTAAAAAACTACGCTTACTAGGTACACAATATCGTTTACTCACTCGTAAATTAGGTGCTGACGGTTGACCTAAAGTTTTGAGTTAAGGGTGTGCTTAATACAATTAATGATAGATTAGATTGCAATCCAAATTTCTGCACTTGGTCGTATTTCTTTAACGACTGTTTAATGAATAGAAACAAGGCTTGCAGTTGAGTTCATATTCGTGTTTTCTAGAGCGAACTCACTAGTGGAAACCAAAAGGAATGTACTTGTATAACTAGACTGCGTTATGATTTCCGTGATTTTATGAAAGCCATTTGATTTGAATTATATATAGATGTTTGGCTTCCAATGTTCACTAGCTAGTATAAACCAATTCATTTATTTGCGCTCGATTCTTGTTCTTTCGGTACGGTTCCAGAATTTTGGTAGTGTCCGATGAATGGGAGTCTAGCCACTCGACTGTCTAATTCTAGTCAGTTGGCAGTTGTTTGTGAGCTTGTATGTCCCGTGATCTGAATGAATACATTTGTTTCAGGGCAATAGAGTTTCTGGCTACCATCAGCTATCACATTTCCAGACTGGAGATCAGTTAGTTGGAATGTGGACAATAATAAGGATAATAAGGATAAAAATGCTAATATGAATAAAATTTCAGAACTAAGTAATATATAGATTTCAAATGTGTAAAAACGCAAACCTCCAAAACTGTGCCCCAATATAATATATAGATGATTTAGTTTAGTAATTGGTAGTGAATATTGTGTGAGAGGACTGAAGTGTAAGCAAGATGGAGTAAACAGAGATAACAAGCCAGACAAATTGAGTTAGTGATTTAGGGTGATGGCAGTAATAATGACTAGCAGGTCTCAGGACATGCGTAAGGCACGGCTTGTCCAAGAGGAAAACGATAATCCATATGTAAGTGCGCATCCATCAATTCTCTTCTTAAAGATGTCCAATGAGGGGGCCATGGTCACCTCGGCTGGGAAAGCATTCCAAGATGCAGCGACTCTTAATGAGAAAAGGTGTGCACGAACCTGAGTATTCGCAATCTGACGCTCGATTTTCCAAAGATTGCCTCGAGGGGAGTGTTGGTGATGCACCAGTAAGATGCTCACGTGAGGATGGTTTGGCTTGCTTAATATGTTGTACGCCATTATCAGATCACCTCTGATTCTCCTGTTAATCAGGGGGAATAATCGCAAGTGCTGGAGTCAATCTACGTAAGTTTTATTTTTCAACCCTATCACCTATTTCGTTGCTCGTCTCTGCACTGGATCGAAACGATTTATGTCACTTTTAAGGAGAGGGGATGTGACGACGTTGTCAACCTCAAGGCATAGGTGTGTCTATGTTTTAAATAGAGTCAAGACTAATTCATGGGTGATAGCACTGATTTGTTTTCGTACTAAATCAAGAGTTGCATTTGCCTTGGCTGCGTTCCCTATATGGTTCGAACTGGTGTGGAGGCTTCCAGTGGTTATAAAACCGAGATTGCTCCCTGAGGATACAACTAGGAGCGGACTTTCATTGAGGGTGTGGATCGTTTGCGCCATGTGGGGCAGAATGTACATGACGCAACATTTCGACTGGTTTAGTTTCAAACAGTTTTTCACTGCTCAATCCTCAAAGGATGTAAGGTCCTTTTGAAGATCAGTCAAATTCTCTTAACTTCTACTGGGTCTCCAGATCTCTGCATCGTCCGCGTAGATCAATGAAGGCGAGTTGACTGTGTCCCCAAGGTCACCGATAAATATCAGGAAAAGAAGTGGACCTAAGAAGGTTCTTTGTGAAACTCCTGATGTTGAGACTCGCCCAACTCACCTGCATTCGATTTATCTTGATACGAAACTTTCTATTCTCAAGTTAGTTTCTGAGCTAAGATACAAGTGGTCAGTGAAGCTCATTTCGGCAACCTTTGCGATTAGGCGTGCGTGGGGTACTGTGTCAAAGGCTTTCGCAAAGTCAATAAATATTATGTGCACCGGTATTTTTCGGTCCAAGCAGGAAGTCCAACTGTCCTATGCTATGAGAAGACTGTGTGCGCACGACCTGCCTTTCCGAAACCCGTGTTGAGCTCCATGGAGTATTTTGTTCTGAACTATGTATTCCCTCATCCGTTCGTTCACCAGTCCTTCCATTACCTTTGATAGTATTGGAAGTGATGCGACTGGTCTGTACCAGACTGGGTCCTTCCTGTCTCCACCTTTGAATACTGGAGTGAGAGTAGCATGTTTCCATTCTGCTGGGAGTTGGTGTGACTCCAGTGAATGCCTGAACAGGTCACTTCGGTGGACAGAGGGCTTCTGCACATTATTTCAAGACTAGGTGGCAAATAGTGTCACAACCTGGTGACTTTCCTGGGCGTAAGGATTTGAGTTTCCTTAGTACTTCAAACATGTATTTTTAAACTTCTAATATTAAACGTCGAGTCTCATAAGTCTTGATCATATATAAATATATACATATATATAATTATTGCAGACATACATATCGGCAGACAAGCATAGTAAAATAAAGTAAATGAACGCGGTATAGATGTGTCACTGTGTCTGAAGCAATGAATTATATTATTATTGTTCATGTACCTTACTAATCAGAAGTCACAACTATAATCTAATTCTTTTATTCCATTCAAATCGCATCAAGCTGTTTAAGGCAGTAACATGGGTGAGAATATATGTAATTTAAATCACTGTCTGTTACGCTTGTCAGTTGATGTGCTTGAAATTCACCTCAGCCGGTAAACGTGAGCGAAGACACATGATCCTGTGACACGATGGGCTACTCTAATCAGAGCGTCCCAAACCCTCATTGAGTAGAAGGAGAAATCTTGATATGAAGTAGAAACTGTATTCTACAAGCACCCAGAAAGTACGCGGTCTGAGTCCAGAAGAAGATAGGGAACCCGGACTAAGAATCCGGACCATAAAATGTTACAGACTATGCATATTTATACAGTTAGGTCGAATAGGAGACAACATTTGAAGTAAGTGACACTGATAGTTAGGATTACCAATAGGTATTAAGCAGTAGGAATCGATCAATAGAATTAGACTTACAAAAATAATTCTCTTGGGATATTTGATGAATATCCTAACACTAACACGTACAGTCTTCATCAAAATGGATCATCAGAAGTAGGCTATCTGACAGTCGGCGAAACTGATATGTTAACGCGTTATGTATTTGCTTCAATCAAAAAGAAGTTTGTGAAGAAGCTGTGCAAGGACTGAAAGGGGATTGCAAGGATGTGACAAAGATAACAGAACTAAGGAATCTGTCTACCATGCTTGTTAAAGGATCACTTCGTATTAGTGGACGACCAAACTGTTCGGACTATCCAGTCTCACTGGAGCATCCTGTGACCCAATCGAG